TATTAATAAAAGTATTATTAAATAATCACTGTAATAAATACAAATTAGTTAATTTATTATAAAGGAATATTAAAATGATTAATTGATTGACTGATTGATCGATTGTATGGTGTCGATAAACTATACAGAGGAAACAAAAGAAAGCGAAGGAGGTAGGTATTGGCGTAGACCAAATAATATGTCCGACGTGTATAGACAGTGAACTTTACTGCTTTTAACTCTTGTTTCTTTGTCCTTACATATTGCATATTGCCTTGTGTCATTCTTTTTTCTTTTCTTCTTTACTAAAGCACTTTTTTTTATTATTTTTTTTTGGACACACAACGTGACTAGTGGATGTATTGTGTGAAATTTTCTATTTGTTCCTATGCATTTTGTTTTTTTGTGTGAACACACCCTGAGTGAATTTGCCTGACTCAGCAAGATACATTCGTGTCTCCAATACGATATTTATTGTTGCATTTTTGCGTAATTTCGTGCGCGAAAGTGTGTGCCATCCAGTGCTTTTTTTTATGACTCATCTTTATGCTACATACAAACACGACTAAAACACCAACTCTGACTTTTCGCCTGTACTCTGATGAAACATTGAATGTGTGTGTGTGTGTGTGTGTGTTTTTCCCCCTATGTTCACGGCAATGTGAGTCCGTGTGAATATCCGGTCTGCCACACCAAATGCTGGATCTAGTCCCACAAGCCTCTGCTGCTTTGACCAGACCCGAGACTCAAGTGGTTATATTTTCAATGTTGAATAAAAAATTATTATTATTATTATTATTATTATTATTATATACTAGGAGTGAATAACGGACATAGCATGAAAATCAACAAAATCAGGCTCCGGAGGCGAGAGTCATTTGCTCCTAACGCAGCGTCAAGAAGATGGCGCTAGCGAAGCCGGGGATATTGTGGAGGTTTATTTCCGATAAGATTGAACAAAAGATGGATGGGCTACATTTTTATTGCAATTTTTTTATGTTATTGTCTTACATTATACGCAAATTTATAACAACGTTGAGAGCTGGGCAACTTGGTTGTGGTTAAACGTAATAAAATAAGACTATGCAAAAGGGTACAAAAAGAAGCGACAAACCGGACACGACAAAACGCAGTCCTGTACAGTTATTTTTTCCTCAAATTTGTTAATGTTTTTGTAAAAAAATAAAAAGAAAAATACATATGTCGTTACGCAAACAATTGTAGATTATGAAGACATGGACGTTGTTTTTACGCGCACAGTAGGAATAGCCATGTTCTGTTGCAAATAGTTATATTACTGAAAATGCTATAATGTCTACAAGCGTTACATTGGTGGAGGTAGGACCCCAAAGACAATATCGTTAGAAATAATTGCGATAAATAAATTTTATATAGTTTTCCAAAATTTACAGGCATGTAACTTATCGCTAGATATTTTGATCAAATATATAATATCTGATGTGCTTATTCTTTTAACACAAAGATAAAATATGATGTAAATATCAAACATCTCCATGGTACGATGGCACAGATATTAGCCTCCAAACACGTGACAAAGACAAAAAAAAACTTCCTAATGCCGATTAAAAAAATAATTGTTTAATCTTCTTTTTTAACATATTTTTGCAATTTATTACATTCTATCAGGACTTCTAGCTAGTTAAAGCATAACATAAAATGGTTTGCTTTTATTTTCTCGTATTTGCATTTATCATCTACGAAGGCATACACATTTTGTAATAGCAGTGTTCGCATTCTCAAGAAAATGTCGCGTTTTCATTGGTCAAATGTCGTTCTGGCTACCGGAACAATGTTCCTCCCATCGCCGGAAATGAGTTCGGTGTGTTGCGATCTTTGATTGCTTTTTAATAGGAAAATCGATTGCGCATCGCTATGATTTATGGATTTTTAGGGTGTTGGCACCCGTGAAGTGAGTTATCAGCATATTTAGGCGATCTGAGAAACCTTCTTAGGGCACCTTAATATGAAAGGCCTATCACCGTATTTAAGATACGCATCATAGGCAAATACACCCCCAAATTATCTGTAAGGTGCTCTACAAACCTTTTCTGGTGTTTTTATGCTCGATATGTATGAGGGATTTGGAGAGCCTTAATAATGCTCTAATCGAGAAGGTGAATTAAATAAATGTGTTTTTGTCACATATGTCACAATCTTTTTCGGAGACAGTAGGCAAGGTATCTGGCCTTGCACATCGAGAGGGCTATGGAACTCGTGCAGTGCGCGCACTGCTTACATAGTGGAAGCTTACACAGAAAAGAGCCCAATGAAGAAGAAATGCATCGTATAAGCTTGGTCTGTTGGGCGAGTTGGTAGTTAACTTTCATATTAAAAATAGCGCAAAAAAGTGTCAATGTGTCAAATGTGCATTACCAACTTGCCTAGCAGATCAAGCTTTTGCAACAATTCCCCCTTTCCCGCATAATTAAAAAAGAGGAGCGCGTCTGTGGTGTTAGATTTTACTGCTGTGGCAGTTTTGGCGCTGCCTGAGCGTGCCAGCGTGCTTCCTTGCCTTGCTCCTCTTTTCCTCTTTTAGAACGGTCACATTCTTTTGTGATTTGACAGGCTTTGCAGAATAAAGAATTATATGATACTGTTCGACGATCTCAAATTAGTCAAATAAAAAAAAATTTTCAGTGATGTCGCACAGCAAGGTAAGTTATCGTGTCGCGGCCGCTAAGGTGGCTTACCGCTTTAATTTGGCAGCCACAGAAAACTGATTTTATGCAGCTCCAGTGATCTGTGATGCCAAATAGTGACGAAAATTCGCCATTAACAAGGGACCCTCCGGCGTCGAACGAGTGTTGTTATCCTTTCGGTAAGCATCGCGTGCTTGCATTCAGTATCGGCAGCTTTCCAGAACAAAATTTGACAACGAGTGACTCCAACTGGTAACAGGAGAAGACAGCGCTAAAGCATACAGTGACAAGTAGACAAAAGACAAAAACACAGCGTTGTGTTTGTGCCTTTCGGCCATGCTTGCCCCTGTTTCTTTTTCTTAGCTTTTTTTTCTTTTTTTTTTTTTTACAGTGGAGTTGTTCAGGGCTAGTTTCCCCAAAATCGTGTCCACCAGCAAAAAAAAAAAAAAAAATATGACACCAAACTCTGGACAGCTACCGCCATCTATGAGCGATGGCGGCAACCAGACAACTGGTCGCTGCCGTCGCTAGTAGATGGCGACAACATTTCTTCGGAGGAAGAAGAACGGGAGCGAAACGAGCGGCGATGCGCGCAGCAGCGCGAATGGTTGCGCAACTGCCGCGAGGCCGCTATCGCCTAAAGTTCCACTGCGTCGAACGCTTCAGATTCATTGCGAAAGAAGAGCAGATCGCTCGCCTGGAAAGCCACCGTCGAGAACAGAAGCTAGAGCTGCGCTGCTCTTCCTACTTCACCACAGTGAAAAGGCTGAAAGTTTTTTTTTTTTTTTTTTAATTTTAACCAATATGCACAGACTAGCTTAACTTCAAATTCTATTACTTCTTGAACTGCGTGCTCGATCCAGGATTTAAAAAAAAACTGTGCTGGCCTTCAACACTGATTGCCGCCATTTTTTCAGGATAAACATGTGCCCTGAAATGTCTAATTAAATAAGTAAGTAGTGAATGTTCGTTATTTTGTCATATTTTTGTTGCGTTCTTTCTAGAACATAATGTACGCCCGGCTGTATAGCTTATTTACACAATCTGCTATTAAAAAGCTATCTGGACTCTTTTTTAAATTGTATTTGATAAAACCGAAATACCCTATGTACTTAGTATTAACTAGCCAACGAGCATTCCAGTTCAAGAATGGTCTACATGTTTAATGTTTGTGTCATAGTCCCTTTAAAAGAATTTTGAACTTCCAAAAAGGATGTTCTGTAAAATGCCTGAATTGTACGTCATAAAAACAATCATTTCGTGAAAACAAAATATTTGCAATATTTAGGTTGCGTGACTCAATATGAGTATCGCGACATGTTTCTATTTGGTGCTTATAATTTGGGACAACGTGCCAGAATAAAAGTCTCTAGATAGTTCCTCTATCAAAAATAAACCACACGTCGTAAATAGTGCTTAAGCTTCGTTTTTCTTACAAAGAACAAAAGCGACACTTAACACTGCACTTAGCACAAACCCGCCACATCGAGCGAGCAGGCGCTCAAAAGCAGCGCCCCTTTTTCCGTAGGAACCTCGCTGATGAAGCAAGTGCCACATCACTCTCGAGTAGGGGAGAGTCGGGAGGTTTGGGACGGTTGGAGGAATGGGACAGCTCGTTTATCTCTCCAGGAATTAGTTCAAACACGTTCATCGGCTGCTCACGAGGTGGCGCTAGCATACCGATAGCCTGGCTGTAATGGTGGCCGTCTTCACCGGACGGAGCTTTCTCTGACTACAACTCTCGTTTTTCACGTGTCAAAAGTAAGTATCCGCTTACTCAATTACACCTCTCTCAGTTTTAAACCACCCTGCCTATGCTGATACCAATTTTTCTTCGAAAACACGCGTTAGGGTCGTGCTTCATGCAATAACAAGTTTAGCCCTAACAGGAGAATTTTCGCCATTGAATGTATTTTTCGTTGGGCGAACCACCTGGGGAGAAATGGGACATTTGAGTCGCGGGTGGAATGGGACAGTGTCCCATTCCTCCCCACCATACGGCTGGTGCTGTGTCTAGCGAATAAGCTACAATGCTGCGGCGCTTTAGATCCGAAAGCAGTTATTTTTCATTTGTTATTTAAAGTGTACAAATGCTTGGTGCCGTGATGTTAAATAACATACAGGCTGTTTCTGCGACACTTGACGTTAAGACGCGCTAAACCAACGGGGCATCATAAAATGCAATGTTTCTCAACTAAAAAGGTGTGATTACTGTACACATTTGCGAGAAACCCGGAATAATCACGTGAATAATAGGCAGCAATATGAGTGCTGCTACGTGCATGCAAGGACGTTAAGCGTGCTTGGTGTGCGTGAATATTTAAATTTGCCAATTTTTGATCCATTTCCATTTTCAGGAAGATGCCGCGGGTTTACAAGAGGAAGCATCCCGACAGAGCCCAAACATCGAACAATTTGATCCTGGATGCTGTGCGATTGGTGTGCGATGAAAAGAAAAGTATAAGAGACGTAGCAGAAGCTTTTGAAATATCAAAATCATCACTTGGCCGAGCAGTGAAGAAGTACAGAGAATGCGGTGACACAGGTGGCATCATGTTCCAGTCCAATTTGGTCTGCGGAATGGTCTTCACAACAGAAGATGAAGTACTCTTGAAAGAATATTTGCTGAAAGCAAGCAAAATGCATTATGGGCTTACGAGAATGCAAGTTCGTTCACTGGCGTACGAGTTTGCAACAGCCTTAAAGAGGAAGTGCCCGGCGTCATGGGAACAGAAGAAGGTAGCTGGAAGAGACTGGTTTATGGGCTTTATGGACCGCCATCCCGAGCTATCGCTTCGATCGCCAGAAGCGACCAGTCTGGGTCGGGCAACAAGCTTCAATAAGAACAACGTCGATGCTTACCTTTCAAACCTGAAAAGTGTCTACGACCGATACAAGCTAACTCCGGACAGCATCTACAATTGTGATGAAACGGGCTTCACAACTGCACACAACCCACCAAAGGTAGTAGCAGCACGTGGAGAAAAGCAAATCGGTCAGGTTACATCCGCAGAACGCGGCGAACTGGTGACTGTTTTGTGCACTGTCAATGCCATCGGAAACGCCCTGCCACCAGTGTTCATTTTCCCACGCGTGAGGTTTAAAGATTTTTTTCTGAAAGGCGCCCCGGCAGGAAGCCTCGGTTTGGCAAGCAAGTCGGGCTGGATGTCGAGCGAACTGTTTTTGCTGGCGTTAGAGCACACTGTGAGACATACGAAGTGCTCGAAGGAGGAGCCAATTCTCTTGATACTCGACAATCATGAAAGCCATGTGAGCATCAACACCATCAACAAGGCCAAAGAGAGCGGAGTCATCCTGCTGACCTTTCCCCCACACTGTAGCCACCGCCTGCAGCCACTTGATGTGTCCGTGTACGGACCATTTAAATTTCGGTACAACGCTGCTTGCAATGATTGACTCATAAATAACCCCGGGAAGACCATCTCCATCCACAATGTTGCACAACTAGTTGGATCCGCCTACGTATTAACGGTGACACAAAAGAACATAATCTCGGGCTTTCAGAAAACTGAAATTTGGCCTTTCAATAGCGAGCCCTTCACTTCGGATGACTACATGATGTCATCAGTCACTGACAGACCCTTAACGTCCGTAAGCGGAGAAGTGTCACGACAGACGGCCACCATCACCGAGAAAACGGACAGCGCAAGCCGACTGGAAAGTGATTTGAACTTTGAGACAAACGGCCATGGAGCTTGCAACGTCTCTACAGATGTCTTCCCACCTACTGTCGCCAACGCAACCTCGACGTCAACTGCATCTCCCAGCCGGATTGTTCCGAGCTACCTAAGGCCCTACCCTAAGGCTGCACCGCGTAAGACAAGGCAAAAAGGAAGGAAGAAAGGTAGGACAAAAGTCCTTACGGATACACCCGAGAAGCATGCGATTGAACAAGAAGCTGCAGAGAGGCTGGCACGACAAAGTCTGAAAAAAAGAGCGCTTATCACAGCTACGACTGTCGCCACTACCCGCCCAAAAAAGAAACGGCGACTTCAGAAGGAGTTCAGTTCTTCAAGGGAAGACGACACTGTTGCCGTTGCATTTGATGATTCAGACAGTGACATGTCGGGTTCCGATAATGAGAGGCGGGACATTTCTGAGGCCGATTGCCCAAACAAAAGTTTTCAAGTGACAAAAGGCGATTTTGTCCTTGTCAGATTTGGTAAGAAAAAATCTGACGTTTATTACACGGGTAGAGTCGAAAGTAGTGACAATACTGACGTCAGTGTCCAGTTCCTTCGAAAGAAAGAAGGGAGCTCAAAGTTTTACTTTCCTCCGCAGAAAGATATAGGGACTGTGCCAATAACGGATATTGTGAAGAAGCTGCCAGCGCCAAAAACTATTGGGGGTACGAAGCGCCTGCAAGCTTGCTTCAAGTTTGATGTGGAACTATCGGCTTTTAATGTCCGCTGAAGACGTTGGGACCGATATTTTACTGGCGTCCCATTCCTCCCAAAGGATGTCCCACTCCACCCGAAGGAACGGGTGGAATGGGACAGATTTTAGCTGTTAGAAACTATTTTTTTGCAGTTGCTCTAGAAGTGGCAGTAACCTGTGTTTCGCAGAATTTGCGCAGCTTGTTTCGACTTGTACTATAATCCATCAACCATCCTTTCTGCGTTCAAAATAAACAAATCTAAAATGCATTTGTGAAAAGCGTCCCATTCCTCCCGACTCTCCCCTACGTATATTTATCTATATACTACCTATGCCGTTTATGTGTATGTATGGATGTGCGGACGCTGGAAGGGGGAGGGGTCGCTAACGGCCGGTGGAATAGCGGCGCCACCGGCCGGTCCCTAATGGAGGAGTTAATTGACGGCCGTAAATGGTATCTCGTGGCAAAGAAACTGAGTAATATTACGCCAGCGGTTGTTTCTGCGGGAAACGGGAGAAGAATGGTGTTTCGCGAATGTACCCGGCCGGCTCCACGTCTGTTTATTTTTACATACTGTCGTTGTTGTCGTTTGACGCTCATTGTTCTCATTCGTCTCACTGGTGCGGTTGTACACTTTTTTTTTGTCGACGTATTTTTATGATGTTTTTTTTTTTATCTTTATCTTGTTCTTGTCGCGCGCATGTTGCGACCAGAACTTTGAGTTTTGGTATTCGCGAAAAAATATTAATAAATCGACGCCGATAATTTGTACGAGTTCGGCCCTAACGTACTTATCCCGCGTGAACGGATGCGAAATATGGCTAAGGATTTTTTATTTTGTTTTGTTTTGTCTAACGATAGTGTTTTGGGTATTTTGGTTCGAAAAACAAAGAATAGGCCCTTTCTAGTTTGTGTAAGGAATACAGCACGCTGTAGCCACTGGAAAGGTGAAACCGGTAGAGAGGTGCTTCAGTTGTGCTGCCTCCTGCGCGAGCATTCTGCCTTCGACAATGCTTTCAGCGTCTCGTGAACTTCGAGCTTGCATTCGCCGTCGAAGCACGACGGAAGGTAACGACAGCATGCTTGAGGCCAGGGGTTCCAAAGACACGTCCAGCCGTTTTACTCTGTTGGTGACTTTATTTTTTGTTTTTTAATTAACACAAACCACAGTTATGTTGTCGTTCTTTTTTATTAGATATATATTTCGTTTCAGTACGTTTCATTTGAGGAACGCTTCGATATAAATTAACATTCGTGATTTTCTCCTAGTGTGGACAGGAATGAGAACATTATTATAACGCGCGGCATTTCAACAGGCCTCATCATTTTGTCTCAATTTATTTCTTTTTCAGTCCTACCTGCAGCATTTTTTTTTCCAAAACAGCCACTGCTCTCAAGAAAAAAAAAATCGGTTGTATCTAAAAGCATACATTTGTAGTTCATAAATCACTACCTGCACTATATCGAGCCTCCACGCAGTAGAAACATACGGTCATTGCAAATACGTAGATACTGTGTTCATGTTGAATGACGACTCTTTATAGCATTTCGAAAAAAAAAAAGAGAAAGTGAGTATACACAGTTTCGATCGGCACTCAAGGTACGCGAGCTCACAGTCGCCCGTATCCCGATGTTCATTATGTCCGTCTGCATTCGGTTCAGCCCGTCACAAACTTTACGAACAAGAGTTCGTCTTTTCTTACAAAGGAGACAGCAAAACGAGAGTGGTCTGAAAAGAACGAACTGGCATAAATGATTGATGCACGGGGCATCATTGTAGTCGAGCTTGACATAACAAATACTACACCCCCTGCCCTAGCCCCCCCCCCCCCCCCCCCCCCACAAAAAAAAAAAAGAGATGGATACGTTTGACAAAACACCTTTCGTTGGGCTGCGTTTCAGCCCATATTTTTGTTTCCCCACTTTACGCCTCCTCTCGTTATTTTTACGATTTCTTTTATAAAGCTGGACACCGATAGTTTTCCTTGTTTGGATTTTTTTCAGGCGCCTTCGGAGTTCTTCAATTTGTCTGTATGTGTGTGTGTGCGCGCGTGTGTAGACACGAATATATGTATATATATATATGAGTGTGTGTGTGCGTCTGCGTTTCTATGGTTGAGCTTGTGTTTGCGTGTGCGTTCTCTAGTGCATATTTTTCTTACATATGTTTTCTTCTTTTGGGGGTAGAAGGGCTTTAACATACGTACAAATAGGGGAGACGCAGGTGCACTTTAATGCATTCCCACACGTTTGCCTTCCACTATTTCGCACCGGACGTTCAATCGATGAGTTCATGTTTGCACGGGTACGAGGGAAACAGGATAAGGGGGAGGAGGGAACGCGCGGGCACAGAATGTGAAAGAGGTGGACAATAAAACGTTTAAGATATAAACACGATAAAGTAAAACCAATGCACGGTTGTTGCGCGAGAAGACGGCATCTCTTAAGCCCTAAGCCTTACAAGAGTGCGCTAGCATGTTTACGACGATGTGAAATATTTTTTTTTCCTTTTTTTTTATTGCACGTGTGTTCCTGGAATCTATGCCTACGGATAGATTCCTGGGGCAGACGTGTGCGTTCGACACGTCGCGCCATCTAGCCCGAAATATTTGCAACACTGGTTAGGCCCTTTTGCCAGGCTGCGTGCTCGTCTGGCTATTCATGCACCACTTTGAAGGTGTCGATCAAAGCCCTTTTATGTTTTTACCCTTAGCATTGCTTTCAGCTGTCACAGAAGAGCACACGTCGAAGCTGCAGGCACCGTCGCAACCCCGAAAACTTAGGAGGCGTGAAGCACCGCAGGTTCGCGTCAAGGCCGTGGGAAATAAAACGATATCGGAGACACATAAATGACCCAAGACGAGTAAAATAAGCATTCCCTTCTCATTAGAGGACTGGAGATGTATTTCTGAATTATTCCCAATGATGATCTTAGTCCATATTTGAAATGAAAGCGCTCAAAGCGCGGTGTTGTCCTTAAGTTCAATTCGATGACTCGCGTCTTCAATACTTCAATATGATGTGTTCTTTTATAACGTATTCCCCTTGGCATATGGTACACCGCTGATGCATTTCCTCACAGTTTAGACTATATGTCCCAGTTCTCAATACTCCCGCTCAAGCCTCAAACAACAATGGACATCACAGTCGACGTCTTCAACAGGACGACGAGTCTGAGGGGGCGGGAAACAAGCTGATTTCTTAAATGTGGTCAGCTCTTTATAGAAACTGAGTTCCCTTGAAAAACAAAAGTAGTAGGACTAGTACAATCCCAGACAGAAGCTCACGGGACAAAAGCTAAGGTTCACCGGATTTTTCACGGACCCAGACAAAAGCTCACCGCTCTTACTCGTAAACCCAAACAAAAGTTAACCCGGATAAAAAAAAATAATTGCTTTTCCACTTGAGCTCAAATAACCTGATAAACTAAGAAGTGCATTCTATGAACAAGCATTTCTGACTCACGCAAGGTTTGTTTTTTCTTTAAAAAAATTATGTTAATCGCTCAAATCTTTACGGGCGAATACAGGCTCCCCCTGCCGCCAGCAGTTTCGTCACGTCTCTGTGAAGCTGATACCACGCACACAGCTTCCTCAGGAGGTTTTAAAGACGCTTCGTTGGCTTCCGATCCCTCTTCATGAAGGTTCACCTTGGCGTATTGCTGCAAAACTGTTGCAACCAGCGCTTGATCTTGTTGAAATCATTCGGTCAGCCTCCGGACACTTGGATAGTCCCGTCCCACAGGCTTGTGGAACTCGTTGTTCTACCCTTCACGCGAGTTATTGTTCTTGTTGTCGTACCTCAGCGTGGCCTCCTGTAGATTTAACATCTTTGGAAATAAAAAGCTTCTTTCTGAGCTAATCCAGCAGGTATTTGTCAATATGTGCTACATGTGATAAGTTTTACGTTCGGACGAGGCACTAAGGGCGGACTAGGCACCGCGTGGGGACTATAAACCGGGTGCAGACTACCAAAACAACATAAGTTTTCTTTTAGCTGAAATCGGCTTCTGCGGACT